CCCCCCCCCCCCCGCCAGGCCAGTGAACCCCTCCTTCCTTCTGAGGAAGCCCAGAGAACAGACCCCACCAAACTGGCTCCTGGCTCAGGGTCAGGTGGGAGGGATGCCAGTTCTGCCCCTAGGCTGGGCAGGGAGGCTCCAGAAAGGCCCATTCAGCCTCGCCCATGGAGAAGCTTCCAGAACCAGACCAGCTCTTGCCTAAGAAGGTTTGGGCTCTGCTTGTGGGGCTGTCCACGGGCTCACCCATGGTGACTCACACCCTCCTCCGAACGGTTCCCTCCCTGACACACCGTGGCACCAGCTGCACCCCCGCCCCCAGCTGTTGCCCCTCTTTCAGTGGAGAGTGTAGACAGCTGTCCTGCAGGGAGGAAGCAGTTTCCTGAGACTTCCCCAGTGGGAAGGCAGCCACCGTGGGCCATCAGCAGCCGGGCCCCCTGCTTCTGCAAGGACCAGCCAAGCGTCCACTCCACTGTCCTTACAGACTCAGCAGAGCCAGGCCCAGGTCAGAGCACGGCTCCCGGCCAGCTCCCGGCTTTGGTGATGTCCCAGGCCCCAAGGAGATGGGGCCGGGGGGCCGGGTGGGTGGGCCCACCAAGGCAGCCTCCTCGATCCTCTACCTTGAGGCTGCCCGTGAGGTGGCGAGGCCCAGAACAGGGGAGCCAGGAGAAGGTGCCCGGCCTGAAGCAGGGCAGAGCCACCAAGCTGCCCCGTGTGCTGTGGCTGACTGGCCCCCCTGCTCACAGCAAGGCTCCTGTTCCTAGGGAGGAGGGGGCAGCTCTGAGCCCCTCCGACCAGGGACAGCTCAACCTGGACTTCATCTGGGCCCTCCCGGTCCTGGGGCCCCAGGGTTACTATTCCCGTGTCGGGGACGCTGTCTGTGGTTCGAGGCGTGAAGTTTTCTTGCGAACCTGAGAAATGACGGGCTGTGAGGCTGGGTGACACCTCAGCATGTTAAACTCTTCTGTGGACAGAGGGGGGCCGCCCCTTCCCTCCTGCTCAGGGTCTCAGTGGGAGTGGGGAGAGGGGCACCCAGTGGACCCTGGCTCTGGCGGCTGCTTGAGTTTCTGGCACCTTCTTGCCCATGAAGTGTGAGGGCAGCTGCAGCAGACACCCTGAGTCTCCCCACAGGGAGCAGCCCCGATATTCAGACAGGAGCCCCGGATGGCTGTCCCAGGCACAGACACCTGCTCCGAGCTGGGTCTACGGTCCCTCCCGGGGGTCTCAGACTTGGAAGTAAAGGGCAGGGACAGGGCCACTGGGGCCCTCAGGCTGAGGGCAGGGTCAGATTCGGGGCCCCACGTGCCCCCGATGCTCCCTTCACGTGTGCCCGTGGAGCCGCGCCATCGGGACGCGGCCAGCAGCTCCCCTGCCAGCCAGCTGTGGGCCCCTCCCCACCGGTCTGCAGGCTGACCGACCTCGTGAGCTGCACCCACCCTCGGCGACAGAGCTGAGAATGGGCTGGGAGCTGCTGGGGACCCCACCTCCTCCCCGCTGGCCCTCTGGACAGAATCTGCAGCTCCCGACAGAGGGGGACAAGGTGGGCGAGGGGGACGGGGTGGAGCAAAAGGTACATGGGAGCCACAGAGGGCCTGGCGGACCGGGAGGCCCCCGGAGGCGCCTCGGCCATCAGGCTCACTCAGCCGTGCCCGATGACGCCAAGGGTCACCCCAGCCTGCGGCGCCCTGAACGGCCCAGCCTGTGCTGACCGCCGGCTGACAGAGGCCGGCCCCTCGCCTGTCCCTGGAGGCTGGAGATGCCCTCAGAAGCCCTGACGTGGAACTCTGTGGACCAGCCGCGAAGCCTGGGCCCCCAAGGGCAATTTCCAGAAGCCTTCCCCCAGCCAGGGCTAAGGACACTTCACAGGCCTAGAAACGATACCCTTTGAAGCGCTGCCCCCACAACGTGCATTCCGGAGTGTTGTTTTAAGGAGTTGGCCGCCAGAGGGAGGCAGTGGCTCTGGGGCCCGCACGTGAAGTCTTTCCGGGCAGGCGGGTGGCCGGCTCTTCAAGCTGGGGGGGGTGCTCCCAGATCCCTTCTGCTGAGGCTGACGTGCCCCCCAGTCCCCTTTCCTGCCACCTCTACGCTGAGCAAACCCAGGGAAGCAGGGGGGTGGCCAGGGCTGAGATGTGCCCCTCCCCCCACATTGTCTGCAGCACTGCGCCTCTGAAGATTGTGCCCAGTGGGGGGCGGGCAGTCTGGGGGGCATCGAGGTCAAATCCCGGCGCTCACCACGGCCTCAGCTTGGGGCACATGCCCAGATTCCTCAGCCTTTATCTCCCTGAGAGGTGCTGGCAAAGGCAGGAAGGTGAAATTCGGTGACTCCAGTACATGCTAAACTCAGTAAAAGAAAATCCAAGCTTAGTCTGCAGAGGTCATGAGGGCAGAGGCAGCAGCTTCTGGGGAGCAGGACACACGACAGGCTCCCTGAGAGCAGCCGACTGGGGTCTGTGGCGAGGCCAGGCCAGGCCCAGGGACCCGAGGGCGCCTCTGGGAGCCAGGCTCGGCTCGGGAGATAGAGCAGCATCTCCGGGACCCCCATGCTCACACCCCTTCCTATCAGGACTTTGGCCACCCCCTCAGCTCGTTCTGGAGCCAGCGTCCCCAAAGCCAAGTCTCTAGGGTGCTACAGACTTGGGAGAACTTTCTGGAAGTAGGAGCCCAGGAAGGGTCAGGGCTGGGGTCCCCCTCCCACAGGGGTGTGAACATGCACAGTTCGCAGAACCGGCAGATGAGCGTGAGAATCCAGGGAAGCGTGCCATTGTGCCAGCGCCCAGGGGCTGTGCCGGCTGCACACACAGGGCGTGTCTCCGGCTGGGGTGGGCCTTCACCTCCCCCCCACCCCCGGAACAATGGAGCTCCGGAGCCTCACGAGTGCAGAGAAAACAGGGCGACGGCAGGCCAAGGGCTCGGGGGCCACGAGGGCACTTCTGGAAACCCGCAGAAGCTTCCAGAACACGGGCAACTTCCTCAGGCACCACCCTTGGTCAGCAGAGGAGGCAGGTCTCGTTTCCAGAGCCAGCCAAGTGCTCCAGGCGCCGATCCCTCTCTGGCCCCCTGTGCCCTCTGCCCCTCAGTGCAGGTGGAAAGACGCAGGGCTGGCCTGGCCTCTGGGTGGTCGGGGTTCTCGGGGTATAACCTCATGCTAGAGAGAAGAAAGGCCGTGTGGCGGCGGCCATCAGGCAGCGAGTCTGGGCCGTATCACCTCAGAGACAGGGCCTGCGGCTCCCAGCAGGCGGGTAGCCAACGGCCGCCGGGGTCAGTGCCACCACCCACTCGCTGGTCCACACACTCGGGAGTTGTGGCCTCCAGACTGCGCGTCAGGAAACACAAAGCTGAGGCCCCCCCACCTCCGGGGCATCTGGGAAGTTGGAGCTGGAGTCACCCGTCCGGTGGGGCAGAGACGTCCGCTTTATTGACAGACACGTTATGTACACGCGTGTTACGGCACACGACACACCCGTGGGGAAGACCAGGGGATAAAAAGAGCACCGAGAGAAGGCGCCAAGGGCCCGGGGCCGGCGTCCAGCCGCTGCCCCGACCTCCCTCAGGGCTTCTGGGCAGCAGGGGCTCATTTCCAAGGGCGCAGGTCACTTAGAGTCTGTTAACAACTTGACCAGCAAGCGTTTTCACCTCCTCAGCATCCTCCGGAGTCCCCGGCCTGCGGCAGCCCGGCGGCACCGTGGAGAGGGGACCCAGGGACCCTTACACGGTGACTTTCTCCATCACGCTGTCAGTGACGTGGACTTCGTCCGCCTGGACGGTGACAGCTGCCGACTGGCCACACACGTGCTGGTGGTCCTTCCAGTCCTGAAAGGAAGGGCACGCCCCACGTGACCTGAGTGTGACCTGGGGAGCAGGGCCCGAAGCCCACCCCCACGTGGGAGGCGCCGGCTCAGATGGCAAACAACCGGGGTGAGCCCCGAGGACACCGACACCGTGAGGCCCACCGGCACTCTGATCCCTCTGTCGCCTGAGATACAGAGAAAAGAAAGTCATACCTGCAAAGAAATATTTGTACCCGGTGCCGTCGCCCACGGTGTTATTTATACCGGCAAAAACGAAAAAACAAAGCTGGGGCCAGCCTCATGTCCACAGAAGGGTTCAGTGGCTGTGGCCCACGAGAAGACTGGGGACAGGGCAGGTGTGCTGAGCAAGATACCACCTCCTCGTGAGGGGGAGCCCACCAAGTCCCTGGTCAGGGCAGATGCTGTCGGGCTGTTGGCAGGGGGAGAGGGGGCTGAGCTCAGGCAAGGCTGGAGCCCGTCTGCAGGCAGTGAGAAGCCACCTCTCAGCCCAGACTGGGGCTCTGGACGAGGACCCGGGGGCTGGACAAACGAGGACCGTGTTAGTCGAAACAGACGTAACCCTCGACTGGAGGTGAGGCTAGGGCTTGGTCAAGAAATGATGTGATGGCGGGGGCGGGTGCCTGGGTGGCTCACGCGGTTAAGCGTCTGACTTCGGCTCAGGTCACGATCTCACATTTCACGAGTTCGAGCCCCGTGTCGGGCTCTATGCTGACGGCTCGGAGCCTGGACCCTGCTTCGGATTCTGTGTGTGTCTCTCTTTCTCTGCCCCTCTCCCGCTCATGCCCCACCCCCTCAGAAATAAAGAAACATTAAAAAAAGAAAGAAAGAAAAGAAACGACGTGATAGGAACGAACACAAACACGCTGGGCAAAAGCAAGTACAGATGGGGTGCTGTCCAGGACGGCAGGGTTCCGGCTGGTCGTCTCTGTGCTGTCCTACGTTTCCTAGGTTTTCTACAACAACCCTGCCCTGTTCTCACAGTAAAATAATTATATCCCAAGAACAGAAGCCTCCCCGGGAATCACCCACAAACTGTGGGAACGCACAAAATGTGTACAACTGCACGGGCCGGCCCGGGTCATGGCATCACACCGCACGTGACTGTGAGCTCGAAAGGCGTCGTGGTGCAAACACGACAGTGTTTTAGGGGAAAACAGGAGGCCGGCACAAGTTCTGAGACACAACACCCACAGTGTGATCTCCATGAAAAACTTTTGATACGCTGGACTTCACCAACATTAGAAACTTTTGCCCTGCAAACCTGCTACTAGGAAATTAAACAGACAAGTCACAGGCTGGAAATCCTGGTAAATCACGTATCTGATGGAGGCCCGTGTCCAGAGCGTGCACAGAACCCTCTATACTCTTACTGAAATGACCCAATTCAAACGGGGGCAAAAGGTCTGAACAGACGTTGCCCCAAAAAAGACACACGACTGCCCGCTAAGTGAATGCGAAGGTGCCCAAATGACTGGTCGTTACAGGAATGCCAGTTAGCACCTGGTGGACAGCTGGTGGACAGCTGCGGCCGCTGGACCACGCCACGTGCTGGCGGGAGAGGGGTAGCACCCGCAGCCACTTGGAAAAGCGGTCTGGAACTTTCTCGGCAAAGCCAAACACAAACTGCCTGCACGACCCCGCGAGCCCACGCCAAGGTCCCAGCCCGGGCAGGGGAGGACACGCCCACCTAGGAAGGGGCGCGAACTCACAAACTCGGAGAGAGCGGCACTCCTGGTGATGGCCAGAGGGAACAGGAGAAAAGGGGCAAAGCCCGGGCTCGTGCCCTGGAGCGGAAGCCGCGAAAACGCGCCAGCGCGAGGAGCCAGGTGCCCGAGACCACACATCACAGCACTCGCCAAGTGACGTGCTCAGAGGAGGCAAACACACGAGGACAGGAAGTAGACTCGTGCTTCTCAGAGGCTGGGGAGGGGCCCACGGGGTCCTTCAGGGGTGGTGGACCGTTCCACGACCGAACTGGGATGTCGGCGCTACAAGTACTAACGATCACCAGGTCGTACCCTGAAAACGGGCCCATGTCGTGGAGTCCATGCACACACGGCAGACGAGATACGGAACGGAGACCACATCTGCGAGTTAAAACCTACCAGGTCATGGCCCTTGTCACCCCGCAGCACTGACCTCCCGCCCACGTGTTCGCAGGAGGGATCGAGGGAGCCGTTCCGGACGGGACTGCTGGCCGTCACATCAGCTTTTACCGGTCACCACGAGGAGCCCAGGCCTCTGTCTTCACACCCCCCACCCGCTGTTCATTTTGGGTCCAACATGAGAATTACGTATATTGAGATTCATTTTGTATCAATTTACAGAAATAAAACCAAAGCATGTCTTTATCAATAAGACACATCAAAGGAGAACAAAGTTAACATAATCCAGGGAAAAAGGGAGTCTTCGTCCACAAAATTATACCTAAAGTTTAGCCTGCCTGCTTCACAAGCACACAGCCCCAGGCTGCAGTTCAGACAAAATCTCATCTGAAGCGATTCCATCGGGAAGCAAACCCACGAACCGTCCGTGTGATCGTTCCGGTTCAAGGAAGATGCAGAAAGCAAGGCCCAAGGTTGGCCACATGGCAGCACCAGCCTGGGGCCCGCCACCGGCCCTGGCCACCCCATGTGCCCGCTCCTGCCCGCTCCTCCTCCGCAGCCCCGGGCACAGGCTGCTGCCCTGAGGCTCTAACAAGCCCGATGCCCCCTCCTCGGTGCTGACACCTACAGGGGAAGTGCAGACTTCCGGTCCCCAAAACTCTACCAATTGCGGGTGGAGGGACCGACGGGCTCCGGGCTACCAGCACGCGTGGGAGGCAGGTCCTGCCCACAGACACACCTACAGGCCACCTAGCACTTGACTACAAGATGCTCTCGCGCACTCTCCCGGGGCCGCGGGATGTGCACACATGCCCTTCCCCCCCACGGCACTGTGGGGAGCGCTCAGCGCTCAGTCATCTGCAGACCCGCTGGAACTCGATGTGCACTCGGCCCTGACCATTGTCCCCACCCACCTCCGTCTGCCATCTGCTATTCCTGCTCCAGAAATGCTGGCGACAGAGGCTCCAGAAAGCCACCTGGCGGGGACAGTGGTGTCGGCAGGCACACAGCTACCTCTTAAGGCAGCATGGGGGCCACGCTAAGGGCTCCATTAGCCACTATTTATCCATGAAATACACTGCCCTTCTTAACTCTGCTAAGTTTCAAATCAACACCAAGAAGAGACAGTGACAGCCTTGCTGAGTGTGGGTGGGAGAAATTAGGGACACCTGAACCAGCTAGCACCAGCGACTCCAGAAAACAGCGGCCGACAGGGGAGACACACACACACACACACACACACACACACACACACCACACA